CACAGCTAAGGTTATCCTTGTGTATTTTTCCCGCATTGCTCGTCCTTTCAAATTCGTCTTTTCCTGTTTTTCAAAAACCCTCCAGCTCCTTCAATTTCTCCATCCCTCTTAATTCATCTTTCACGCCAGCCGTTTGAGCTTCATTTGACTCTGGGCACAACGAATCGAGTAATCTTAACAGGACCCTCCTCCACCCTCAACAGCCGCTCAAGACTTGCAAGGCCTGTTTCAGTTGTTGCAATTCGGTTCCTGACATCCCTTACGACCTCCACATCCATCCTCTCTACCCGCTGTAACGCTCGATCCTGGAGTTCGTCCTCGGAGCTAAACCCTGTCTTCGGCATCAGTCGTCTATTTTGATCTAGACAAGCGTTTATTTTGTTCGCGTTTCCTCCATTGATATCCTTTGGTCATAAAAACATCCCCTCTCATGCTCTGCATTCTCTCCACCGTCTTTGCCGCCTCACAATAAGCTCTTATATGCTTGAATTCCCGCCTTTTTGAACCTCCAGTCATAACAGCAACCGCAACCTTACACATCGTCGACTTCACCACTGGTCACGTTTAGTGAGAGCCAACAACAGCACCATCACAATGGGCGGTTTTTATATGCAATACCTCGAGAGTAAGTCAATGGCTGTGGAGCCTATCCCTTTTTTCAATGGCAATCATGTCTATGGTACCAGCCTTGTCAAAAACACAATTGGTTGAAGGGGCAAAAAAAAGTTCGCTTGCAGGGTAAACGTTCCCCGCATGTGGTGACAGACAAACTATTGTTCTACCCTTGTTGTGTTGTGTGACACAAGTTGAGCAATAATTTGATGTCCAACATGACTGAGAGCACATGGAAAACCTTGAACTAAATGCCGGGTTTGGCATCTTGATCCCCATTGTTCCATCTGTGGACGGATGTTATGAACACCAGCTCGTTTGGATATGTTTTGGGCTTCACCAGTTTAGAGACATGAACCCGTTTGCTAACAATGTGCGAAACAGGCCTTTGCCGACGCCGAGGATGGACAGACCCCATGTACGAGTGCTACCGGGACCATAGCGGCTACACTTGCCTTGTTCTTGTCAATGGACGCGAATACCAAACAGACCTCGCGTACGAATCTGATGTTTTAGCCCAAGAGAACGCAGCTATGCGTGCCTTCATGGTCTGCCGTAACTTTTCTGTCAATGGGGGTATGCTGGCCCGCAATGGTATCGTTCAAGGACTTCCTGCTCAGGAACCGTCTCGTCGCCGCAAGAGCCGTCACACGTCTTCTCGAGACAGCGACCGCCACAGTAGGCGATCTGGTCACCATTCCAGCAGTAGCTCAACTGCCTCATTCGACTAGAAAGCACCAGGAGGCAGCCATTGGCAGGCGATTGAGCCCAGCTTGGCAATACTCGGATGAGTTTGGATCAGCGTTGTGGCCAGCTCGTATGGGAGCATGTTCAAGAAACACGAGGGGCAGGAAACACACACAAGACGACTTACAAGCGGTTGAAATGCTTCACAGCAATCCCAAGGATATACCCAAACCAAACTCCCTCCTTGGCAATTTTTCTCATGAAGAGTTATCAGCTTCACCCTTTTTCCGCTACTACCACCACGTTTCGACTTTTATTCTCTTTTTGGTTTTTACTGTTTTGCCCCATTGTTCTTCACTTTACACTCGGGAGCAGCGATATATATCTTGATATATCCTATCTGCTGCCAACGAATCATGACGACACGATACGATTTAGATGCTATCTTACATTTCTACGGGCGGCATTTTCTTTTGCAGGTCACCATTTAGTGTCCTTTTTCTCCGCGAGGGACGATGTTGTTGCGACACATTCGGCTTGCTCTGATTTCTTCCTTTGACCTTTCCGGTGGTCTGTTGGATGTTGTCACACGTTGCATGATACCGCATTTGGTCTGAAAAAGCACCACCACGCATCAACCCAACATTCAGGTTGATATCATATGCTCCAGAACTGTGACACAGCGAAGAACGGGAGATGGAGAGTTCAAAAATATTTGCATTTGGTTAAAAGTTGAATTGGCTAGTGGCATTACTGCTCACTTACCTCACAAAGCTGGGGTTGACCCGTTGGACGACAATTTGACGAACTATGACAAAGAGAAAAAGCACACTGTTTCGAAGGTCCATTGAACAATTGACGATTAGCGAGGAGTGGCACTTTACTCAGATCTCAGATGGCGGATTCTGATAAGAAGATATGTATTCTGCTTTGACGGATGGAAAAGCACAAGCATGGTTGGAGCCAGCGTTGAATTTCACAATCACGATACGATATGAGAAAATGTGGAGGACTAACTATGAGACTGGGATGAATTATGAGAATAACCATGGAATATGGTGCAATTTGATGGCAATGCGCTATTAACGACGATAATGATTATGACCTTTTTTATTACTACTACTAAAATCTCGATTGCCGGTAGATTCTTGTGTCTCGCCTTGTGTTTCCTGATCTTGATGCATTTCTAATTGCTCATGTGACACTTGTACCACCTCTGCCATCCTTTGAATCGATGTGGTCCTTGATGCTTGAAAAGAGAAAGATTTGCCAACGCTTTGAGGGAAGTCCATTGGGGCATGAGGAGAACATATAGCTTCAGGCCAACCTGCCAATGACATACAGGATGCATTCTGAGACCAGCCTGAATGAGCGGCACAGAGGCTCAAAGACATTAGAGCCAGGACCAACAACTGAGCAATGATCAGTCAGGTGTACGGATATGTAACCACGGACTGTGGTGTCACACATAATAAGCTGGGGGGAGGGGTATTCCCGGTGTAACTCAGATGGCTTGATGCTGTGCACCAACAGTTGTTTGAGGTTGGAGGATGAAGTCAGCTCAAACTCAATTCTAACAATATTCAAGCTTCGGAAAGCCACAATGTTTGCATATGCTACCAAGAAGCGAAGTTAGGTTGAAAGCGGCAATCAATAAGGAAATGACAAGTCAGACCAACAAACGAGTTTGTCGGGATCTGGGTAACGCGAGCAACTGTCAGCTGTTAGCGAGGTGGGAGCACAACACCACCAACCTCAAACCCTATTGCTGGCTCCGAAACTTTCAGCGAGGATCGTCAATGCAGCGTCAAGTGGTTACAGATTTCAACCTCTATTGTGACGTTGAACAAGCTATGATAATGGCGCAGCCGTGAGACAGAGAGACTGTGGGGTGACTAATCGAATGAGAGTTACATAGTTGATAGTGCATACATGTCGATCGCGATATGGCTGAACTGGATCCCAATCCCATACACAGGCACAGGTTCAAGGGTGAGGGGAGGTTGACAGAGTTTGTAAGTTTATTACACATGAGGGTCACGAGGTGGTTATTGACAGCTCAATCAGAATAGAGAAGAGCAAAGGGAGGGGACACGCTAAACTAAGCAGACGTGTCAGATGGAGACACGGGAGAGGCTGAGAGATGGAAACGCCTTCGACGATGAAGTCATATGGGGTGAGGTGGAACGTCTTTTCTTTGTGTTACGAACAGTTGTTTCTATTCACGACGTGACAAAGACTCTGAATAAAGTCACGGGGCTACCAGTATGTGTGTGCTATACTCGGAAGGTCATCACAGTTGAAAAAGCCAATGCAGAAATCGCCATTAACACGAGGAACTCTCGTAAATGAGCTACAGGGTCCTTGTCAGGGGTTGCAAAAATGAACGTCAGCTTATGAGTGGTTGTGTGGCCACCTCCTGTTCTCCTTTAACAAAGTCAATGCCTTGAGGAAGAGAAGATGGTGCCACTGGCTCGGACCTCGATCAGCTAACAACCTGATAGAAATGAAAAGGTAAGGACTGTGGAATAGGAGTCGGGGCCGTACATTGAGCCTTGAGCTGTTGGTATTGAGAATCACAGTCTGGCATAAAGTGATGCAGTGTAGGGAATTAGGGGGTCGAATCACTGAAGAGTTTGATATTGATCCTCAGACCTTCTCTGGCAGAGGAACGCAACAGGTTTCATATGATGATTTGTTCTCAAATTCAATAAAAGCCATGTCAGGTATTAATCAATTCTAGAATGACCATCCGCTGAACAGGGGGTTTAATATAAATTTCGCCAGGGAGCGGACAAGGTGTAGAGCCACATTGACCCGCAAGACTTGTTTGATTGGAGTGAGAAGAGCACGCAGCCCCCTTTCTATTAGAGGACCTCGTGTCGCGGATCGTCTGTCTGTGTGGCCCGGATGGGAGATGGCAATAGTCTGAGAGGCGTAGACTAACTGACTATTGGATGTGAAGGAGTTGAGAGTCCAGATGCATTCCTTGGGATGTTCTGGCCTGGAGATGAAGGGATCGGGAACAAAGGTGGCGGTAATAGCCATTGTGGAAGTTACTGCAGAAACATCATACTCTGAGATCAAAAATGAATGACGTGAATGAGATACAAGCATCAGACTTCCTCTCGCTACTGGCAAATTAGATAACTCGAGTATCGTGAAACAAAGTGACTGAGTTGCGTTTCTACAGAGATCTTGAATCGTAGCTGGAGTCAAATCTCGAAGCCGCTGAGAACTAACGTTCCTAACCTGAGTTAGACCCTGGGCTATGGCACTGGCAGCCCGTGTCGTCCCCTGTAATCTGGGTCCAGTTCCCCACTCTCAGCCTGCCTAGGTCGTCTCTCTGGGTGCATTTAACCCACGTTGGCCTTTTTAGAACATCCCCACTTCCCTCTGCTCGTGGTCTCTCTCCTGAGTTCAAAGTTGAGCTTCTTCTTCTTCTTCTTCTCCTCTCCTCCTGATCTTCCCCTTTCTCTCTCTCTGACTTTCACTTTGACTCTGATCCAGATACTCAATCTCTCGAGATACCTGATACCCTTTTAAACATTTTATTCTTCCTTAATCTAATCCTGTCGAGGTTGCTTCCTTCTTTTCAGGACCTCGCTGCTGTCGCTCTCTGTTCTTTACTTTCTCTGTCACTGTTGACTTACGTTGCTCCAACGCATTCCACCACGTAACAGCTTCTCAGTACCGCAATCATGAAGGGTACGCTTTATCTGGCCAATCTCAACCCCTCCAGCGGCTAAAATTGTTTAGGACTTATTCTTGTCGGCGGCTTTGGCACTCGCCTTCGCCCTCTCGTACGTTACCCCTCAGGCGCGCGAAACTCCTGTGCACCCCTCCAATATTTGTTTTGTGTGTGACTGACATGTTGTGGCGCATTACAGACCCTCACTCTCCCCAAGCCTCTGGTCGAGTTCGCCAACAAGCCCATGATTGTGCACCAGATTGAGGCGCTGGTCGCAGCGGGTGTCACTGATATCGTTCTTGCTGTCAACTACAGACCTGAGATCATGGAGAAGTTCTTGGCTGAGGTAAGAACTTGGAGCCTTTGTATTCTCCTTAAACACCATATAACTGACATTTTCTGCAGTACGAGGAGAAGTACAACATCAACATCGAATTCTCCGTGGAGACTGAGCCTCTCGACACCGCCGGACCTCTGAAGCTTGCTGAGAGCATTCTCGCTAAGGACGACTCTCCCTTCTTCGTCCTCAACTCCGATGTCATCTGCGACTACCCCTTCCAGGACCTCCTGGCTTTCCACAAGAACCACGGCAATGAGGGTACCATTGTCGTCACCAAGGTTGAGGAACCCTCCAAGTATGGTGTTGTTGTCCACCAGCCCGGTCACCGCTCTTTGATCGACCGATTCGTCGAGAAGCCCGTCGAGTTCGTTGGCAACCGCATCAACGCCGGCATGTACATCTTCAACACTTCCATCCTCGACCGTATCGAGCTCCGCCCGACTTCTATCGAGAAGGAGACCTTCCCCGCTATGGTCAAGGACAACCAGCTCCACTCTTTCGACCTTGAGGGCTTCTGGATGGACGTTGGGCAGCCCAAGGACTTCCTCAGCGGTACATGCCTGTACCTCTCTTCCCTCACAAAGAAGGGCAGCAAGGAGCTCACTCCTCCCACTGAGCCCTACGTTCACGGTGGAAATGTCATGATCCACCCCTCTGCCAAGATTGGCAAGAACTGCAGGATCGGACCCAATGTCACAATCGGTCCTGATGTTGTTATTGGTGACGGTGTCCGCCTGCAACGATGTGTGTTGCTCCGTGGCTCCAAGGTCAAGGACCACGCCTGGGTCAAGTCCACCATCGTCGGCTGGAACAGCACCGTTGGCCGATGGGCTCGCCTCGAGAACGTGACAGTCCTCGGTGACGATGTCACAATTGGCGATGAGATCTACGTTAACGGTGGCAGCGTCCTCCCCCACAAATCTATCAAGGCTAACGTCGACATTCCTGCCATTATCATGTAAGGAGCGATCTAACGAACCATCGCCTTATTCGAATCTTGCTGGAGGACACACCAGCGAGATTTCTCATCTATGTTTTAATCTCAAACGACGACGACGAAGAAGAAGTCAAGAAGTAAAATTCACCACTCTGGCTGGGGAGATGTGCTGGCCACCATTCTATACCATGGAGGCGGGGCAGGAAGAAATCAAGAGCCTGCCGCTCTCTCTATCTTAATACTTTTGTGCAATTGTCTAATGCCCCTTTATGCGTGTTTATCTGGCGTCTAGGTCGATATTTACAGAGGGAGGGCAGGCAGTCAAGCCATGGAAGGACAAAAACAAGGCAGTTGGGCAGGCAGGGTTCATGGCAGCTCTCTGAGGCAGTCATGTTAAATGTCTATGTTACAGTTATTTGTATTAAAGAAGGTAGCTCAATACCATTTTGGAACTTTACGATCTTTCCCTTCCCTTGTGAGATGTGTCAACATTGCCCAGCAAGACAAGTTACGCGTAGTCGGGACTTTCGTGCCGTTCTCTGAGACACTCCCGGACATTCACTGCGTTGCTTACACTGTTGGTTCTGATTCAGACCCGTGGAGGGAACAGCTCATGGCCAGCGAGGAGAGAATGAATGTCCAGCTGACATGGCCTCAGGGAGCAGCAAAACTTCAGACTTTTGAAGAAAACATTGAAATAAACTCAGAAAAGAATTCCCTAGAGTTAGACAACGTTGCCTAAATCGTTTTATCATTCAGAATTTAGGCCCTGAGCTTTCTTGTATTCCCTCGCATATCGAGTTAGATGATCGGTGATCCTTTACGTGGGCACATAGTCTGTGTGAGATTCATCTGGCCTGTTTATTATCGAGTATCAGATATCCAGTGGTAGATAATAGAAGGTTAAACCTCAAATCTGAAGTTTGAACAACGTTTGCACGTGGATTTCTGATTGGCTGTAGATCTGATCAATGGGCCAGGTTCATTCAGGATGGGTCAAGCAGTAGGGAATGCGGCCCGTCGAGGATATCTATAAGACTGCGAGACAATGGTGGCTCTAATACATTATCACGAAGACTGTTATAGAATTTGACAAAACCATTTGAGGTTATTCACTTTCGCTTCAATATCCAAGCGCAGTAGTATTTTAGCGGTTGCCCTCATTTCATTATTCAATGCCTAGAGTTTGAAACAGGGAGACGTCAGAATTCGTTGTCAGAAACAAAAGACTCACATTGAAGCGTATTTCAGGCCTTGGAACTGCTACTGTTATGCAAGGTGTTACCAAAAGAGCGATCGCTTCTCTGAAAATTTTGATAAATAAGGAAGACTATCGAGTCAATAACGAACTCATAGGAGGGCTTATTACTGCCCTGGGGTGGGACAGTGGCTCAACTCTTTCTTGGTTAGGGTAAGGTAGGTAGCTTATTATAGATGAAGAGCGGTGTCGTGAAATGGGGCGCCTTGCTCGAAGTTTACCATCTATTACCTTTATTTGACCGGTTTTGTCCCTCGTAAGCCCTCGAAGTTTTTACAAAAACAAGCAAAGAGAAGAAAAGGCTGAGCACGAGTCTTTAACCCTGCCACAGAACTGGTTACTCACCTACCTACTAACGTTACCAAGCCACGTCTGAGGCATAAAACGTGAAGCTATTTACCACCTCCCATTTTGTTCAAGTCTTCTCGATATACCCACACCACACGACACAGATCACCATTTTGTTCTCGAACGATTGCGGTATTTCGAGGATAAACCACGGCACGGAAGAGACGGGGTATGTTGTATGTCGTTCCTGACATTGTGAATGCCAGTGTATCATTGTCCTTGAGGCTCAAGCCACGAAACGCTGTGCCGGGTCCAGCCCACCACTTACATTACACCAATCCGACCTCTGCATCACCCAACAGGAGACTCACCAGATCGAGCGCCGAAGTTCCCCCTGTATATCTCGCATGATAAGTCGGGGCGGCTCATTGATGTGGAAGTTGACGGTTTCTTCTTCCGCGTCTGGTGCACCCGATACGGAGGAGACGGGCCGTTTCAAAACAACGGAGATCTAGACTTTGCTAAGAACTCTCTGACTGTTTGTCACCTCATTGTCGACACTCTTACGACTGGGAGGTCATTGGTTCTGCGAAATTCATTGAGAAGAAAATCTTAGACAAGCACGCGACCAAAGCAGACCAGAAATCTATTCTTGAAATTCACCACGAGAGTGCACCAAGACGCAGCCAGGGCCCTGGCTTAGAAGTGGTGGTCAATTGTTAGGCAGACAATGGAGGCACAGCAGGTGCAGGTGTATGGACATGGACATGGACATGAGATTAAGACGAAGAAGCGCCCTTGGCCTCGGTTCCTTGTCTCATGTGTAGCTCTCATGCTGATTCTAGTGGTAAGTTGGCATTTCGACACGGTAATCTTTTTTTCCCTGTGCTTGGTATTTTCTGGGGCCATCATATCATTCATTTTGCAGTATCATTCCTACCCCGTCATCCCGCCTTTCATCCACACATCCATTTGTCTCCCCGTTGCCCCATCTTTGGCTCTCCAGCCCAGAAATCACCCGTCCGTACCGCAAGACTGGGACTGGGTTGAGCTCGGCTCATGAAGATGATGCATGGCATGGCATGACCTGACCGAAACCTTGCTAGTGAGGGTACATACAATTGAGGGACTTGACGATAGCATCATCTTTACGGCTGGGGACGACTGGCAACTCTTTATTTTTTTTTTACTGGGGCCAAGTTGGCTTATGACGGCATCCCAGTGGATATGCTCGCGGGACATGAGCCTCAAGAAATAAATTATTATGGTTTTCTAGAGACCAAGCACCCTAAAAAACAAGACGTTGGAAGCAAGACACGGCCAAGTTCGGCGTATTAGCGGAGCCTCTATGAGGTTTCTCCCCCGCACCCCGAGCACCACCGACCACACCTCCACCATCTCTCCACTTGAACGGCCTCTCCACGGCCGCCCGGCGACACTTCGATTGGGTTGGGTGCTTCAGAACCATGGGGATGGCGCCTCAATCAGGAGAAGGAAGCAACTGGAGTGAGGCTCGTGGTATTAAAAAATCCACTGCAATTCGGGCCCATTCGGCGGCGCTCAATGGCAATGCCCAGGCCCTTGTCATCACTCACGTAACGCTCCATGATCCCCAGGCCCCAGAAAACTCCCCCATTTCCAGTCGTCATTGGTAGTTGATCAGCCACTGACACAGGTTCCGTCAGCAGCTCTCCCAGCTTGTCCTCAGCAACGGTGACGCCAAGCTCCAGCAGCAGCCAGAGCTCAAATTCCCAAGAAACCTTTTGACCTCGTTGTCGTCCACCAACGCCTCAATTTTGGTTTCCTTCTCCTCTCTCCTCCAATTATTTTCTCTACAAACTCTTCACCTTTTATTCCCTCAATTCTCTTTCTCATCCCCACCCCCAATCCCTTCAGCGTCCGAAGCTGTCTGCTCCATCGCCCCTCTCTTCACGACAACGCCGCCTACCTCACCAGCTATCACCATGGCTCTAGCTGACGAGTCCAACCGTATCGTCAAAGAGTTCGACTTCTCCGACGAGGAACTGAACAATCATGTGAAGGAGTTCTTGAGGCAAATGGGTATGCTCACCCCTCGCTCCACGTAGAATCTGCGCCGCGGTGCTACTGTAGCTCGTTGTCATGATGCGCATTTTCTCCCATTTTGGCTTTAAACCCTCAACAAAACCCAAACTCACAGTTTCCTAGATGAGGGCCTTCACAAAGAGGGTACCAGCCTCCAACAAATTCCTACCTACGTCACCGGCGTTCCCAATGGCACGGAAAAGGTAATTTTTTATCCACATTTGGCTCGTGAAGCTGCCCAGACTGATTCTCCCTCACCAGGGTCTGTATCTGGCCGTTGATCTGGGAGGCACAAACTTCCGAGTTTGCTCCATCATGCTCAACGGTGACACCACTTTTAACCTCACTTACAACAAGGTTGCCATTCCCAAAGAGCTTATGGTCGCAAAGACCTCCGCACAGCTCTTTTCTTTCCTCGCCAAGCAGATCGAGATCTTCCTCAAGGAGCACCACGCCGACCACTTCAACTCCCACCTGCGCCGTCGCAACACTGCCAGTACACCCTCGGGCTATCGCGATGAACATATTTTCCGCCTGGGTTTCACCTTCAGCTTCCCGGTCAAGCAGCTAGCCATTAACAAGGGTCTGCTAATTCGATGGACCAAGGGCTTTGACATTCCTGATGCCATAGGCAAGGACGTCTGCGCTCTGCTTCAGACCGAGATCGACAAGCTCCACCTTCCCGTCAAGGTTGCGGCGCTCGTAAACGACACTGTCGGCACTCTCATGGCTCGATCCTACACTTCAACCAGCAAGAGTCGATCTGTTCTTGGTGCCATCTTTGGTACCGGCACCAACGGTGCATACATGGAAAAACTGAGCAACATCAAGAAGCCTATCTCTGGGGAGTATGATCAATCAACAGGAGAGATGGTTGTCAACACAGAGTGGGGTTCTTTTGACAACCAGCTCAACGTCTTGCCATCAACACCTTGGGACAAGGCTCTTGACGCCGAAAGTGTAAACCCTGGCCTGCAAATGTTCGAGAAGCGGGTATCTGGTATGTTCTTGGGTGAGATTGTCCGACTTGCCATGGCCGATATGATCAACAATGAGAGTTCGTCTCTGTTCAAGGATCTCAACTCGAGCACGAACGACTGGGGCACTACCACAAACATCGCGCCATCGTCTGGTTTCCTCAAGCCTTGGGGACTCGACAGCTCCATCATGTCCGTTGCGGCCGCCGATAATACCCCTGAGCTGTCTACCCTCCGCCAGGAGCTCGAGAACCTCCTCAGTGTTTATACTCCCTCACTCGAGGACGCCCAGGCTTTCAAGTCCGTTTCCAATGCTGTTGGTCGTCGCGCTGCTCGATTGTCAGCCGTCGCCATTGGTGCCATAGCTCTCAACTCTGGCAAGCTCAATAATCTCGATGAAGAGGTTATCGATATCGGTGTGGATGGCAGTCTCGTCGA